CCGGGGGGGGGGGGGAATCAGCGCTCCATTATACTGTGGATGCTCAGGATAATTCAAGAATTGTAGCTGATGGCACTTCAGCTGAATCTACACTAGCAATGCTAGTGCCCATCTCAAACAGCAGAGCAACTGCAGCGGCTTAAGCCCTACACAGACAGAGCTCCGATATCCCCAGTATAACAAAAGCAGGCTTCTTATGACAGCAGTAAAAATGTTCAAGTCTGTGCATAAAATACTTACAGCATTTTAAGCACCGGTATGACTGCACAGATCAGTTAACAGGTATTAAGTTGGATAATGCAGATCCAACTACTGAACAAGATATCTTACTATAGTCTGTAGTAACATGGGGTTTCCTTGATTCCTGTTATAACAGTAGCCAGTAAATCCTACTAGAGGAAAAAAATCACTTGGTTAACAACCATCTAACTAAAGCTTAAGCAACTCCTAGACCATTTGTTAATATGGGGGCAAAGAGATTCATGAACATTTTAGAAATCTCCGAGGAGCTCTCTGCCTCTGTAGTGTAAACATCTGTTTTCCCAGGTACACTACACTGCATCCGAAGCCACAGAAACTCCAGCAGGCTTACAGGGAGATCCCTAGACTCTCCATTTTTCAATTTTAAGAAAAAAAAAATGCCAAACAAGCTACAGCCCAGATATTAAAAAAATATGGATGTTTAAAGGCTTGCGTATTGGTACCTTTCAAGTTTATTAAATTTATTTTTATTAGATAAGAGGATTTTAAGTAAGCTTCTGTTTTAAAAATAATTTTTCAACATTCAAGTCCACAATACTATAGTAGCTAAGATTTCAACAGGGCAAAAAATTAGCCACATCTAAACCAAAGCAAAATATTTAACACTGGGTAACTGATTCTATCCCAAAGATACTTAAGTCTGTACAAGTTGGTAATATTTTGCTGAATGGAAGACAACGCCTTATTGGAATTTATGCTGTCACCACAAGAGAGGGACATGCACAGCTGGCATAGGTGAGGCAACGCTGCAGTGTGTGCCTCTGAAGTGGATGCATGGAGCAAGAAAGAACATTTAACCTGACTGAGATCTTAAAGATAAAAATGCAACTGAAACAATAACGGGAAAGCCAACAACAAGGGGTGCAAAAATAATATATTACAGCTGTTAAGCTTAGTGCTTTCCTGAAAGGAAAAAGAATTGCAATAAAAACAAACTGTATTTTATGGTCTTAACAATGAAGCAGCATTTTTCTTCTCCAAATCTCAATTTTATTGGCCTCAGAGGGTTTTGTGTTCCTAAAGATTAGGCTTCCCATGGGAAATTTTAAAAAAAAGCAAAATATTAGTTCCCTTTTCATGAAGTCATTCTTCTGAGCAAGTTTCCTCAGAAGCTTTGCATGGCACAGCTTGTGAAACTGCCTTGCAGTTCTTCCCACTCAAGAGTTTTAAAAAATAACTTTGAATTCCACCAAGACAAAACAGGAATTACTCCAAGCCGGGTTTCCTTCACATGTACCGCAACTGATCTTTCTGCTTAATCCAAAAAGCAAAACAAAAACATTCTACCTTAGATTGATCGCCAAGTGGCAGAAACATCTAAAAAAATATAAAAACTTCAAGCCCTGCCAGCACAGGCAGATTTTGATCCTTATTCCTGATTAGAGATTTTGTAACTGAGATGTTTTGAGTTAGAACAATATACAGTAGCTAGACTTTCAAAGGTTTGGAACTACATTATACATTTTAGCAAGTTAAACCATTTGTGCTGACCTCTTCCCAAAGACCAAAAATAATTAAGACCGAATTGTTTACTTGTTTCTTAACCACTCCCACCCAGGCAAAAGTACAGATGCCAACTTATGTTTCTATGGTGAGGCAACACATGCATTTAATAATGTAGTATACTTCTGCATGAATCAAACTTGTTCTGTAAGATTTGTTTGTTAAAACGACATACCACTATAAAAAGCAGAGAACAAAGAAATTCTTGATTGTCTCTATTCCTTAAGCTTTTTGCGTATTTTAGGGATCTTTCCAATCTAAAAACAGATGCCCTGGGAGTATACACTTTTACAAAAATGTGTATACATGACTATTAATTGCAACAAAATGTATGAGCTGTAAAAATACTACTAGTCAGTGTGTTCCAAGGCATGATTTATAAGGATTGCCTTTATAGGCACTTTATTCCAGGATACATTGGACGGCTTTTGAGGAGTTAAAACTAAACAGTGTCATTAAAATGACCAAAAAGGAAGCTAACCTATTTAACGACTTCTTTGCCTCCATTTTCCTGAGCAGGGACCAGATCAGTCCCCCCACAGGGCTCTCCTCAGGCCCCAGGGGAGGCCCACATAGGCCAAGGGTCAGGTAGGATCTAGTCAGGGAACTTCTGGAGGCACTGGATGTACTTAAATCAGCTGGTCCGGACAATCTCCACCCCCGAGTGCTGAGGAAATTAGCTGAGGTCATTGCGGGACCCCTGGCATGGCTGTACGAGCACTCGTGG